TTGCATCTTATGCATTTTAAAGGGGGCCACATTATGCAAAACTCACTCTTTTAATCATTTTGTGCCACATGGGTATCTCCTCCTAGTCCTCCAGGCTTGTGTTATTTGTGGAGATAAAACATCCATGTTGCATGTCAGTGTTAGTTGTGTTGCTGTTATCCAATCTGCGGCGAGATGTCCAAATATCAGGAAATAAGACTCCAAATTCTGTTGTCTGAAGCTGAGGTGTGATGTCGCGGTGAGCTTTTTTGTGCCCTGAGTTCTGCCTGCAAGGCATTCCTTCCTTCTAGAGACCAGGTTTTTTATTCCGGAACTGTGCTGCTCTGGGTGGCTGCATGTTGGAGTAGCTCTTTTGACTATTTGTAAGTTTTGCCTTTTCTTGGGCATTTTTTCTTTTGGTTTCTCAAGAAAAACGGCATTTTTTTGGACACTTTATATTTCTGTTTCTGGTGCTGTGAAGCTTGGGGGATTTTTACAGCTATTTTTTATTTTTATTTTTTCACTTTTTGAGCATTTGTTATGATGCGTAACCATGGCAGCAAGCTGGTTTGCAATCGGGAGCAGCTGATTAACATTGGAAAGGCTGAAATAATACCTCAACTGAAGCCACAAATCCCAAATGAGCTAAAACGCAAGAAGCGTGGGTGCAGAGCGGGAGCAAAACGGAGACAGAGAAAGAGGAAATTCAAACCATCTCTTCCATCGATCATAACGGGCAATGTGAGATCACTGGCCAACAAGATGGAGGAACTCCAAGCCCTTTCAAGGACTCAGCCAGAGTTTCGGCAGTTTCTGAACCGCTGGAGGAGATAATGCAAAGAAGGATTCTCCAGAGAATCAAGAAAATGATGGACAACCCTGAGCATTCTCTTCACAAGACTGTCCGACAACGGAAGAGTGTCTTCAGTCAGAGGCTTCTTCAGTTTCGCTGCAACACTGACCGCTACTGGAGATCCTTCCTGCCAACAGCCATTGTAACATACAACAACTCTTTGACGACTTGATTATTATTATTATTATTATTCTGACCTACCACAGCAATCAATTTCCCTCTGGGATGAATAAAGTATTTTTGAATTGACTTGAATTGAATTGAATTGAATTGAAATGAATGATTAAATGGGTAATCCACACTTTTAAAGTGACAGAACCCTGAAACTCGTTCTGAAAGGTACTGAAAATGTCGATGATTAAACTGCTGAAATCACTTCATGTGATGAACGTGTTTCGTATAGATCATCCAACTGTTGTAATTTACAAAAATGACAAAAAATGTCCACTTTTTACACTAACTGGGGTCATGGCTAATAAGGTGTTTACTTTCATTTTACTCTGCCACACAGGCAGCAAAAGTGTGAAGGAAACAGAGGGAAAAGGAAAAATGAGAAATCCTGTAAAACCCTGCAGACCGATTTCACGCTACACTAGGTGCATGAGATGCAACAGGCTTCTACAAGTTGTTGATCATTTCAGTGCAGACGTTGACAGTGTTTGGAAGACAGTTACTGGCTGCTCTTCTGGCCGATGAGGTGAAAGCAGCAGAGGATGTCATTAAATTCCCAGAGAAGCCTCTGACCCAGAATGACCTCAGCTGATCAGATATCACTCAAGCTACGTTCTGATGATTTTCTCAGCATTGGAGAAGAATGTCGGGTAGGCTCTCAAGAACTGTGCCACAGTAATTATTTTCCAAATCTTTCTCTGTGCTTTGAATGGAAGCAGTTAGCAACAACCTCAGTCTCAGAAGATCATGGATTTATCTACAGTTTCATGATCATTCATGAAAGATGGGAGTTTTTTTAACCTTTCAGACTCTCTGCTGAAAGCAGGAACTGAAGGACTGTGTGAGTTGCTTATACTAGTTTTAGCTGTGAGCCACCATCAGTCGTCAGTGACAAGGAAGAGCCTAATGGAAGGGCAGATGAGGTGAGAGAGCATCAGAGGAGGTGTTGTTCACAAACACCCTCCTGCCTCTAGTAGGGAGGAAATTGATGAGCCACAATGTGAGAGTTTGGTTCAGATGGAAGCAGGTGACGAGTTTCTTGAATTAAAATTTCAAAGAGAAGAATTTCAGGGTTTTAGAAAGCATGTAGATGATGTCGAAAATGTGTTAGCATCTTCAACACTGTTGATGTGTGTATGCAAAGGTATAACACCAATATAAGTTTGAGTTTGTTACCTTGGTGGTGCATTATTTCACCTTCTCAATCACAGTTTTAAATAAATAAATTGTCTTTATTTCTTGTGAATGATTTACACCTAGTTTGAGAAGCTCGCTTGAGATGAATAAGAACAGATCAAAAGATCCAAGCTTTTAAAGTTTAAACTTATTCAAATGGTCTTTTGTCTGGTCTTCCCAAAAAAACTGTGGAGCAACTGCGGCTTATCCAACTGCTGCTAGAGTCTTAACAAGAACCAAGAGAACCGAGCACATCACTCTTGTACTTAGCAAGTCACCCCTAAATCAACTTTTTTTCTGATAAACTATATAAATGCGTGTCTAATCATGATGCAGACACGTGTAGTCAATAGTTGAGCACTTTAGTGGATTTTAGTTCAAATGTAAATTTTCTGCCTAAAACTGTCAGTGTTGTGCCGTTGTCAGGTAAAAACTCTGCACTGCAATTGAATTTCAATCTGTCATCGCTAATGGCTAAGAGGTACCCTAGAACGTTAGCTGGTACCATATGATGTCACAATGTCATTGTGAGCCTGTGTGTGTGTGTATTTGTCAGCGGCTCCGCCCTCTCGGTCTGCTAGGCAACAGCATTTGTTGCATTTTTCAAACAGGAAGTGGGAGTGGAGCAATACTCTGGTAGGGGGTGACTTGCTCTTTAAATCTCTATACTGGTTACCAGTAAACTACAGAATCAATTTCAAAGTGCTACTACTAGTTTAAAAATCACTCAGTGGCAATGGGCCAAAATACATGTTGAATCTCCTTCCTGTATATAGTCAGCTGGTAGAACACCGAGTCAGAACCAAACAGGATGAAGCTGCTTTTAGCTACTATGCTGCACACAGATGCAATCAGCTTCCTTATGACCTCAAATGTGCCTCAACTCTAGTATCAAAATAGAAAACTTTCATGTATTCATCAGCTTTTGAATGAATGTTTCTCATCTGCACCTTCTGCACTGCAACTGCTCACCCTTTATGTCACAATCTGCCCCTGCCTTCCTGACTGTTTCTCTCCTGCCCTGATTAGTTGCGTATTGGTTTCACCTGCCCTTGTTAACATGCCCATGTGTTCCTGATTTTCTCCAGTGTATTTATACCTCCCGTCTCGTATGTCCTGTGTCGGATCATTGTTGTTTGTCGTGTTGTTCTCGTTCCTGCCGTATCCTGTCATTAAACCCATTTTTACTTTATCCGTGCCTGCATTCCTGCCTCCTGGTCAGCTCCACCACACTTGGTCCGTCATCTCCACCATCACAACATGACACTTTAACTTTGCCTTTGTTCTGATTCTCTGTTCAGAATTTAATTTGGTCAAAATGTATTTGTGTATTTTAATTATGTTGTCACGTTGAGTTTTCTGTTATTGTTCCTGGAAAGCACATTGAATTGTCTCTGTGAATGAAATGTTATTATATTAATAAAGCTGCCTTGCCTAAATTACCTAAAATTTATACTCTTTGGAATCAGGTCACTACACTTATCAAACATTTTTTGACTTTTAGATGTGGCACTATGTTATATATATTATATGTTCATATAAAAACGGAATAAAATACAGATTAATGACATTCCTTGTTTTATTACACCTTCAGATGCATAAAGCCATTATAAAAGGGTTCAGACTGGCGAATGAAGAGGACTACATAACTGATTTTTCCATATGAGTCTGATTTAGTTTACTGGTAAATTCTCCACTGTAAACTAGCATGCATTTTTAAAAGGACTGCCAATTTGTCCAGAGCAGGTTGTTTTACACATTTGGTTAAGTGTTGCACTTTCTATTGCAAATAAGAAGTTAACTGAAATCCCTGGAATTTCCTTGCAAGGTTTGCACAGAACCCGCATGGTAAACACGTCTAAAGCTGTTATTATTCGATTTAAAACCCTGTGAGTAAAAAAGTTTTTGTTTCCAAAAAACAATAGAGCTGAACCAGTTTTCTAGTGAACATGAAGGAACAGACTGGTCCTTTAGGAATATGTGCTCTGGACAGGCAAATCAAAGACAGGTTTTTCAGCTACGAGAAAAGTAGTGTGTTTGCTGCAAAGCAATTATTTTACAGAAAAGAGACCTGAAACCATCTGGGAAGCAATGTTGGGGAAATGTTATGGTCTGAACTGCTGGTCTGCCCCTGGGACCAAAAGGTTCACAGCCATTGTTTTATTCCTGATTTCTGCATGAAATAAAAAGGAGAGCAGCTGTGAGAAAGCTGAAGCTAAAAGGCAAATGGACCAACAACATGATGGTCCTTTAAACCCAGGATCGGCTCAGAAAGACCAATTATCAAGCCCACAAATGGGGGTGATTTTAATACAGCAATAAAATCCCAAACTTCTTGCAATAATAGGATGCTTTTTAATGACCGAGTTCTCAAAATGCTTACAAGTCCGTGTCAGAGACAAGTAAACAAATACACAACAGAACAAGCCAGTTGTGCGTCCTCATTTTATAATAAAAAAATCATCTGTTGAAAATATTTATTTTGTTGCTGTCTGGAGATGGATACTTATTATCTTATGTTGCTTATTTCCAGAGCTAAAGTAAAATAACCTAAAAAAAATTACTGAATAAATGCAAATAAAAACAAATATAAAAAAACTGCATCAATTTCTATAGCAAAAGTTGAAGAAAAAGAAAAAAAATGTTTGGACGACTTATTATTCATTTCATTTATGCAAATTAATTTTAAATTTCAAATTTGACAACACTTTTAGCTGGAGTGTTTATTGAAAATTTCATCTTATTAAATATCCTTTTCTTTACCATTTTCTTTGAGTCACAGTATGAGCAAAGCTGAAGGAGAAAATGAAAAAGCAGTTTGGAGGATTACCAATTAATTTTATTTATGAGTCAAAATTGGCAGTTGTACAGAGAAAATTAAAGATCATTTCTGCTAATGCTTAATAATTTTACTTGGTTGCTTCCATATATGCTTTTGTGCAGAAGCATATTACAGTCAGTGCGGGGAAAAAATTCAAAGGTCATTATTCCGTAAAAACAAGAAACTCATTAAAACTTGATATAAATCTTGTTTCAACAAGAAACTTTCTCGTAATAATAAGACAACTCTAACGTGTGAAACACAGACATCCTGCAAGGATGTTTGAATCCCGTCCAGAAGAAACTCAATTAAATGGAGTCAAAAAGAGCTTCTTTAAGAGGCAGTAACAAGTCAGAAGAACGTATTCCTCCACACTTTCGTCCTCCACATTGAAAACAACGGAGAAAACAGCCCGAGTCCTCACGATTTCTTGTCCAAGCAAAATGGCGGTAGTTCTGCTTTGTAGTTTAGATGCAGCTTTCAACATGAAATTTGACTTCCTGTTTGTGCTCTTTCACATTTAAAAACGTTGAAATCTTTTCACAATCACAAATGATGTATGTCCTGATATTACCTTAGCATGTTCTTTCTGTGTGGGAAGTCTGTGGGTGTTTTAATGTTATTTGCCTACAATTAAAAACAATAGGTATGAAGAACTGCCATTCTGTTGCCTTGGCAACGGGATGTACATGGCGCAGCTGGCAGAGAAGAGAACTAGCGAGCGTAACTTGTTGTTTCAAGCATCACTGTTTGACACTTTTATCCCGGTTGTTGTTTAACTGCCGCTGTTGTACTTCCTAAAGTTTTAACATCAGGAACTGGAATAGTCGCCTGGTTCGTTCTGAGTAGAACTCCAAAACTTAGAACCGCCATTTTACTATTATAATCTTTCATTATTACAAGTTATTAAATATGTTATTTTGAGAAACTTATATCTGATAATATAAACATCATTTTGTAACAAGAAAGTTTCTCGTTATTACAAGATCACTTCATTTTTTCCCTTCGAACTGATGGTAATAAACCGCCATATGTTTTAGATTAATAACCCAACATTTTCAACAAACATGATGGTTGCATACATATCCAAAAGATATTTTAAATTTTTTGTTTGCTTTTGGTTCTGTTGTTGTCTTTTTAACCTAAATTATTCTGCAGTACAATCACACAAGTTCATCTAATTGCTTTTGAATTTTTTTTTGCTGCTTAAAGAGTAAGTCACCCCCTACCAGATTCTTATTCAACCCCCGCTTCCTGTTTGAAAAATGCAACAAATGTTTTTGCCTAGCTGACCGAGAGGGCAGAGCCGCTAACACATACACACACAGGCTCACAACGACATTGTGACATCATATGGTACCAGCTAACGTTCTAGGGTACCTCTTAGCCAATAGCGATGGCAGATTTTTCATTCAACTGCAGTACAGTTTTTACCTGACAACGGCACAACACTGACAGTTTCAGGCAGAAAATTAAAATTTTAACTAAAATGCACTAAAGTGCAAAACTATTGACAACACGTGTCTGCAGCAAAATTAGACACGCATTTATATAGTTTATCAGGAAAGAAAACGTTGATTTGGGGGTGACTTGTTCTTTAAATGCATATTTAGATTGTTAGTTTTTTAGCCACATCAATATTTTATCTCCAAAACCAAGACAAAGTTATACAAACCCAAACTAGGTCAGATTAAACACTTCCTGTGTTCACCTCAGCTCACAGCTTGTTGGAACAGTCTCTATCATCCTGGGTCCACGAACCAGGAAATATGCCCCATTTTTTTCCCAACAGAGCTTTGCAGATCTCCACTGAGAGCTTAAAGTATTTACAATGCTGCAGTGTGTGTGTGTGTGTGTGTGTGTGTGTGTGTGTGTGTGTGTGTGTGTGTGTGTGTGTTTCCCTAGCAAAGCCTCCCTGTAGATGGAATTACAGCTAATGAGGGAGGTATGGCCAAACAGATGGAGCTGCAGACTCATCCGCTGCTTCTGGGAGTTTGAGATGAGTTTTGTTTGTTTATTTTGGAAAAACTGCCAAATTAAAGGGTTTAATCTCAAACACTGTTTCCCTCTCGGCTTTAACCGGCTTCATAGTGAGCTCAAACACTAAGCTGGATGGTGTCAGATCTAAGGAATTTAAAGAAAATAAAGAAACAGTCAAAGCAGTGATGTGATGAACATTTGGTTATAAAAACATTAGTTTTTAAAAGTAAAGACACTTTGGAAATTAAGAAAACCTTTATTTTTTATATTGAAGAGCGTTATTTGTTGCTTATTGACAACGGGACCCAAAATTACTTTAATAATAGCGATTAAAAATGACTTCAAATTGTTTACAGCCCCAACAGCATTAGTGGTATGACATCTGAAAACTAGCTAAAATAGTTAATATACAATTATTTACATAAACTGCTCTGCAGTTTTTAGTTTACACCAAAAAAAAAAAAAAAAGAAAACATGCGACGTGTCATTTTCGAAGCCCTGGTGTTCATGTGCTCATGTAGGAAAACAGCACATGCGTTATGTTGGTGTGCTTCAAATGGCCAGCTCACATGGTTTTTCACCATGGGAAATAGTGACACACATCTGCAAATGATAAAATATAGATATAAAATATAGATATGTGGAAAAACACCTAATGATCTGTTTCTCTGAGAAGTTGAATCATCTGAACTAACACAGGAATCGTCCAAACCACTCAAACATTATTTAGGGGTGAATCATGAATCTGTATGAAGTCACAAAGATGTGTGATCTCAGAAATGTTCATGTCTTTTCCCACAAAAAATATTTGAGCTGCTACAATCATAGTAGTGCAAAGAAGTATTTTACCTTTTGTCCCTAATTTAGTGATGTGCTGCCTTCCTTTTTAATATTTCATTGGGTTTGAACATGAAGCACCCTTCCTTTAATCTCCACTCTGCAGGAAATACTCAGTGTCATTTTAAACCTCCGATTAATGATGTCTGTGGGGGAAAAACGGTGAATAATCCAACACAAATCTGGATTTTATTCCCACTCGTGCTTTTACTGGATGCTGGGTGCCACCAGGTATCCGTTGAAGGTGATGTAAACATCGACATCGTCGCTGTAAACGGCGTTCTCCCTCTCCCGTTTGTACAGCCGGACCCAGACCTCGTCGTTCAGAGCCAGATCCAGCATGACGCTCTGGCTCTGCATGATAGACCTCTCGCTGGGCTGAGCGTAAAGAATCACCTGCTCCTTGTCATTGTGCATCAGGTGGAGGTAGGTCTCCTTGAAGTTCCAGGTGTGGATGTTGACATTGAAGAAGTAGACCCCTGGTACGTAGCAGTAGAACTTGCCTTTGAACATATTAAAGTGCTCGTGCAGGTTGACAAATACTGTGTCGAAAATCAGCGCCTGGTAGTAGTCCACACTGTGCAGGGCCTTGCGACGCCCCACAGAAAAGGAAGAGTGAGGTATCTTGCAGGCATCTCCTGGGGCACCTGCCTGGCCTTTGCTGCCTTTAGGCCCAATGGGTCCTCTGTGGCCAGAAGGGCCCTCCAGGCCGGGCTTTCCAGGAGTGCCTTTGTCTCCTTTGTCACCTTTATCACCTGGAGACACAATGAACACAAAAAATAGGTCAGAAAATAAGCTTAATAGGACGTTACTAGTGTTTTAGAGATAATCCTCTTGCTGCTACAAGGCTCCCAGAAAAGTACTTAGAAAAGTATAATACTTGTTTTTTTAATGCGATTGGTCACAGGCATGCTGAATGTAACAATGTCTCCTATTTCCTGCATTAGCCGCTCAAGGAAAAAAAGATGAAGAAATGCTCGCGTCAGAAAAAGCCACTTCTTTCTTCGTCACAGGGAAATATATGTATTCACGGACTAGTCCAGTGTAGCTTTTCAACGCAGACGGCGGTGTTGATTTCGCGGCTAAAAGAGAGCAGAGCACATCTCATCTAGTAGAAGCTAACTGTTAGCATTAGCAACTCCACAACAGGGTGGAAAATGTCAGGCTTGTGCTATTCGTAGAGATTAAACGTAAAATGGCATTTTTTACCCAGGAAAGAAGAGCAAACGAAGGCGGAAAAGTTCCATTGCTATTAGCCTATCAGAGGCAAGATGTTTGCATATCATTAAAGGTGTGGAATACTCGTTTAATCAATAGATTTTCAGTGGTCTCTAGTAGGAATTAATGCCTTTTAAGTCGTACTCGCAGGGTAAAATCTACTGGTGCACCATTCCCAGGAACTAGAAGTGAACCACACAGTTGAGGTTCAGACGGCAGGTTTGGGAATCTTATTTCCTGATATTTGGACATCTTTCTTCTGATTGGATAACAGCAACACAACTCTACCACTGACTCCACAAATAACACAAGCCTGGAGGAGTTCAGCTGTGTGGTGGAGTTGCCAACACTGATGGTTAGCTTCTAAAAGTCGAGATGTTCTCTGCTTGATGCCTTACCAACAACAGCCTTCCCTCATCGCGAGTCAAGATGCGTGAGTCCACGAATGTTAAGCGACAGTGTGATGTAGATCTGTCAGGCTTTTCAAATCGTTTCACCGTCTATTCTCTATCAGAAGCTAATTCAGGAGATTGATGTAGGAGACTATTTACATGTTATGCCTGCATTAAAAACACAGAGTGACCAAATATAATCAGAAATAGAATTTAGAAAATGTTTTTTCAGTGTTGCACGCCTTTAATATTAACGAGCAAATCTTTCCACCCTGCTGTTTTCCACCCCCCATTACTCCGACTGACTAACTTCCTGAAACAAGAGTGCCAGAGCTTTCTTTCCACAGAACACGACTCACAAGGCATTCATTCAGACCATAGCAGATTTATTGAAATAACAAGTGTATGCCCACTTAAAATGTCCTTCTCATTTTTGTTTCTGTGAATCAGAAAAGAGGAAAACGGGAAAAAATTTTGTTGATATTTTTGTGATCAAATTGCGATTAGACGAAGATGCATCACCAACAACTTGAGACACAGTCAAGACCCTCTGAAAAAAATTCTATTCAATTCAATTCAAAAATACTTTATTCATCCCAGAGGGAAATTCAGTTGTTTCAGTGCACACAATTCTAAGATCAGACATACATACATGACAAGACTTGGTGATTGTGGTCATTCGCAACGTGCTACAAGAACATTTTGAAATACTGTCAGTCTGTAATCAGTAGATGAAACCTGTGCTAAAAGCATAGCATGTACCATTTCAGTGTAATTACTAATGGAAATTGTGCACATCTTTAGCTATATTGGTTCTCTGGAAAGTTCGTCTGTTCCCAGCTAAAGTGAGCCATCTCCTTGAACTTTTCTACACAAGAAGCATTTATTAATTTATTCTGATATGCATTCACTCTGTGAGGAAAAGCTGTTTGAAATCTGTAAACTTCCTTCCTGAAAAAAAGACAAAAACCCCTCCTTGTATATTTATGAGTCCGTGCTCTACCAGAGTAGACGGAAACGGGGTGTTTTTGCAAGATTGTGAAATGATTAGCTGGCTATGGATTAAAAGCTTAGCCAGAATCTACGTACAAAAATAAAAAGCCTTCCAAAGTTTTAATATAAATAATATCTAGAATTAAATAGATCACTATTTCTGCCCTGTTATATCCACTTGGCTCAGACTAAAATCCTTTTAGATTATAAGCTGCTACATTAATGTTCACAAAGAATCACACAAGTTACATTTGTAAATCGAATATTTCTCTGAAGTAAATCCGTCTCAGAAATCCAAGTTCATGCATGAATCGAGAAGAATTTGTGCTTGTAGGAAAAAAAGCTGCACTTGTTCAGTTGTTTACTTTCCAAACCCACTTCATGCTGCAGGAGGGGGAGGGGGGGGGGGGTCTGGAGTCAGTCCCAGCTGTTAGTGAATGAGGCAGAATAAAAAAAAACCTTCCATCACACATCCAAGTTTATGCACAGTAGAGTAAAATGTATATTCTGGTTGTCTGCGTTTGTTTCTGTGTTAATGTTCTCACACAGATCTTTTCTGCAAAGTGAAGAAATTGCTGATTTATTAAATCAGTTCTCAGTTAGAAGTTTTTGCAACAAAGACTTGAGCTGCTGCTACATCCAAACTGTCAAATCAAACACCTCAACCAGCCGGTACGTGTGCCGCGGCCAGCCTCTTGTGCTTTTAGGGATTAATTACAGTGAAACCCGCCCGTGCTGCAACCCCGAGTGCTTTCCCCCTGCTCCATAACTACTTCCAGACCTCTGCCTCTCTCTGCCAAAGGAGTTCCAGCCTCCAATCCCGCCTGGCCCGTGAACTCAGTTTCATTCACTTACGCCTGGAAACAGCATGCCCAGCCTCTGGATCCTCATCTCCTCTGCAAACTTTCAGCACAAAAAAACTATAGTTTTGGAGATGTTTTTTTTTTTCTTTTCATAATCTAACTATCCTTCATTTGGTTCCGGGTTTTCACTTTTATAACCAGTTTGGTAGATGGAGCTCCCTAAGGCTTTAGCTGCCAAGACGTTTTTAAGTTATATATTTTTTAATTCCACTCAAGACGGCTTTGTAGGAATAATCCAAGTATCACAAACTTTATGAGTATGTTTAATTTTCATGTGTGGAATTTAAAGTACTCTAAAGGAGCAATCCAGAGTTTGGTCCCATTCAGGTATAATGCATGCAGGGCAGTGTGAGTCTTGGGATTAGGATTTTTTAACAACTCAGCATCATTTAATTCACTTTCAACCAGGGGCGGCGTTAGGCCCGGCTACTTGGGCTGAAGCCCCGGATGTTTCATGGAAAGCCCCGGACCTAAATCGCGGAAGTAACATGCAGTACCAAAGTCCAACAGAGAGGGAGCAGCTGGCAGTAGTTTGTATACAGCCTGCCTGAGGCTCCACCACTGAAGAAGAAGCCCTTCAGCAGCTGGCTTCTTCTACACTCTCTGCCTGAAACGCATGAGTGAAGATGGACATAAGGACGTTTTTTAGACCAAAAGTACGGCAACAGAACCCCAGCTTTGATGCTGACTCAGGTTTGTGAGTCTTATTTGAAAATATTTGTTGTGCTGCTGGTTTGCCTAAAGTTAGCTTATCAGGTAACGTTGTTGGAGAAAGAACGGGACTATTTACTATCATCTCACACTAAACACTAACAGGAACAATACTCTGCCCTGAAAATGCTTAATATGTAGCTTGAGATTAAAAATTATGTGGTACAAGACAAATATATATGATGTTGACTAGTGCATGTCACGTGTGTGTGTGTGTGTGTGTGTGTGTGCGCGCATGCGTGCGTGCGCGTGTGTGTTAAGCCCCGGATCTTCTTTAGTCCTAAATCCGCCCCTGCTTTCAACAACATTTCGATGGATGATTAATGGTAAAAACTACACGTTGTCTCTTAATCTTATTATAAAACTCAGTCCTTTTGATTTTCTTGTTTTTTTTTAATTGTTTTTAAGGTGTGTATATTTCTGTGTTTGTCATATTTACCAATAAGAAATCTGATTTGAAGGCTCAGCAACAGTTTGACCAACTGAGTACAAGAACATTTTAATGT